CCAGCTTGTGTCCAGTCAGCACAGGGCACAACACAAGCCTCCTTAGGACTGTCCTGCCAGAACCCCCAATGTCCAACACTCCTGCTCGGCCCAGGCCTTGCCAAGGACAGACAGTACTGTGCTTCACAATGCCTTCCATCTCAGGCAAAGTCCCAGGTCATCCTTTTCTTTCTTTCTTAATATATATTCATTCTCAGCAGGGAAGTGGTGGCAGTGCATGCCTTTAATCCCAGTACTTGGGAGACAGAGGCAGGCGGATCCCTGAGTTCAAAGCCAGCCTGGTCTACAAAGTGAGTTCCAGGACAGCCAAGGCTTCACAGAGAAACCTTGTCTTGAAACCTGACCCCCTTCCTGTGTGTGTGTGTGTGTGTGTGTGTACATGCGAGTGCATGCATGCATGTACCCTCAGAGGCCAGAAAAGGACACCAGATCCCCTGCAGCCGGAGCCATCCGTAGTTGGGAACCAGGTGGTGAGAAACAAACCCAGATCCTCTGCAAGGGCAGCAACTCTAACTCCTGCGTCATTTCTCCAACCCTGAGAGATTAGGGTTTCCTGAGGGGGGCCCACACCTGGGGTTCTAACATTCTCATCCTTGCTCACATGACTTCTCCCCATGTTCTGACCTGAAATATGTAATACACTAGTGTTAAATGTCAGTTCTACAGAATTGGCAATCACCCTGGAGATGGGTCTCTGGGCCTGCCTGTAGGGGGTTATCTTTATTAGATTAATGGGGGTGGCCACCATGCCTTCCCGGCCTGCGGCTGTGTCCCTGTGCCACCCCCCCCCAACTCTGTCCCTCAGTAACTATGAGCAACTTTTGTTCCTTAAGTTGCTCTTGTTAGAGTATCTTGTCACAGTAAAGAGAAACTAGCCCAGTGGTGATGGGGTGGTGATGGTGCACACCTTTAATCCCAACACTCACAAGGCAGAGACAGGCAGAGATTGAGGCCAGCCTGGTCTACATAGTTCCAGGACAGCCAGGGCTACACAGAGAAACCTTGTCTTGGAAAAAAAAGAAAGGAAGGAAGGAAGGAAGGAAGGAAGGAAGGAAGGAAGGAAGGAAGGAAGGAAGGAAGGAAGGAAAACAGAAAGAAATAAATGAGAAAGTAACTAAGACACACAGGTCAAAGAACACAAGCATTCCAAATGTTTCTGATGATCTCTGGAGACCCGAACTAAAGGTGGCATCCACATCCTCTTAGAGAACAGGCTGTGGTTTGGCCCTGCCTTGCCCACCCTGTGTCACCCACACTGGCTGGCACCACCGCTGCCTTTATTTACGTTTCTTTGGACTTGGGAGCTGGTTTAGTGGGGAAGATCACTTGCTGTGCATGAGGACCCGAGTTCAGACCCCAGCACCCTGTGGGGCGTCGGACATGGTTACCTGTGCACCTGTAACCCTGAGGCTGTGTTGAGCGGAGACAGGAGCATTTCTGGGGCTTGCTGGTCACTAACCTAGCCCCTGGTTCAGTGAGAGACTTTGGTTCAAAGGAATAAAGCAGAGCGATTGAGCAGGCCATGTGAAATCCCACTCTGGCTCCTATACACACACACTGACACGTACCAAAATATGTAATAAAGCTTTATGTACATCTGTTTCACAATTCAGGGGAACACAGTAACATATAAACTTCCCCAGAGGAAAAGACACGCCCGCGGAACTTTAGAGACAAATAGATGATTTGCCGTGAGAGGAGAAGTCCAGAAATGCTTCTGTCCCTCTCGGTCCTCCTCGCTCTTTGAGGTAGGAGAAGCAGCAACTGAGAGAGGCTGAGAAAGGGAGGCCCATGGGCCAGGGTGACAAGCTGGTTCCTGTGGAACCTTGCGGGTGACCTGCCCGATGTGGTCTTCCTCTGTCACACAGGGGTAGCAGGGCTGTGGGGATGGGTGAAACCAAAGTCTCTCCATTGTGAGTCAGAGCTCTGCTTTAGGGCCCTTTGTGGATGCAGCAGAGCAAACACGTTCTGTGGGGATGGGTGAAACCAAAGTCTCTCCATTGTGAGTCAGAGCTCTGCTCTAGGGCCCTTTGTGGATGCAGCAGAGCAAACACGTTCTCAGGCCCTGCCTTCTCAGGAGAGGAGAGGGGAGCTGGGCCAGAAGAGACCTGTCTCAGGGGTACCCTGAGAACAGACATGTGTACAGCCCCAACTGCCCATGTTTTGCTGAAGGTGCATGGTGAGTTTCTGGGGCTCTAATTGTTTTGAGAAAACATGCCGATAAGCTGCCTGTCAAAGGATGTTATTTCTGGATGGGAGGAGATTCCACAGGGCTGGGGCTCCTTCCTGTCCGCACCGTGTGGGTCCACTGCCTCCCACCAGACCTGACTTGAATGATAACCAGGGGAGGTCCACAGCCTGTTGCTCAAGGCCTCCACGATGCTGCTGCCGGGCCAGCTATCACAGGACCCGGGATTCCTGGAATTGTCTGACAGAATGGAGGCCTGTTCTCTATCCCCTGACAGGCCACACACGCCAAAACAGGTTATTTCGGTCACTTCAGCCACTGGCTTTTGGCTCGAGGCATATCTATATTAAATTGCTATTAACTAGCCATGGCAAGCCGCATTGCCTATTCTGCTGGGACCATTTTCAATTACAATGTTATTTTTTGTCACTAGGGAATCTGGCCTTGCCCAGGGCATCATGAACTCAGCTAACTGAGTCTCCCTGGCAGCTGTCAATCTGGATCTTGGTGAAAAATTCTCATCTTTTAACATTTTGAGTCTGATCTGTTGTCCTTTGTGGACTTGGTTTCTATCTGGTATTGATTTTTCATTTCTCTACCAAAACACGCACAGACTTGGTGCACGGTGGACTGTGTGTGTGTGTGTGTGTGTGTGTGTGTGTGTGTGTGTGTAACAGCCTCATCTACGTCACCCGAGAAGTTCTCTTGTGCCCTTGTTTCACCAACCCCTGTCTCCATTATTTCCCCTCTGTCCATAGATGAGCTTTGCTTTGCCTTGAGCTCCATGTAAGTCTAACCATATGTCTAGGAAGACAGCTCCGTTGGTAAAGCCATTGCTGAGTTCAATCCCAGATGTAAAGATCTGGGTGGGTTAGTGATGGCTTGAATCCCACTGCTGGGGACACGAAGACAGAGGGATCCCTGGGCATGGCTGGCTAGCCAGTCTAGCCTCATTGGTGAATGGCAGGTCAGTAAAAGGCAGGCTATGACATCAACCCCTATTCTCTTCCTTTTTCTTTTTCTTTCTTTCTTTTCTTTTCTTTTCTTTTTTCTTTTCTTTTTTTTTTCTTTTTTCTTTTCTTTTTTTTTTGAGGCAGGATCTCACTATGTAGCCCAGGCTGGCCTGAAACTCAATCCTTCTGCCTCAATTTGTAGACTATGGATTGTAGGTGTCACGGCACCAGACTCTACCAGTGTATGTTAGACAAAGGATCCAAAGTCAGCTCAAGGGCAAACCTTGACTTGAAGTCAGTACGCTTCCGTCGAGTGTCAGCTGGACTTCCGATGCTTGCACGGATATAAGTGCTCATGGGCACAGAAGGCAGCGGGGATTGATGATGAGGACCCAGAGGCCACCCAGGCAGTACCTCTGGATAAAGGCCCTCAGAGAAGAAAGGGGCGAGTACCTGAGTCATGGTCCTCTCAGGTCTCAGGATGCATAGCCTAGTGGCTCTGGGACAGAACATGGGACCTACATGGTGAAGGAGAGAACTACTCTTGAGGGTCAGCCTCGGACCTCCACATGCTTATTCCCCTTCCCAACAAAATGAAGAAATGATTCAAAAGACGGCGGAAGGTGAGAAGGGAAGTAATGAACCCTGGGGACAGGCAGTAGCAGCCTCCATTATTTTCATTTTTATTATTTTTTTTGCAGAAGACCCAGGGCCTTTGGGGCACTAATGGGAAACCACATTCTTCCCCCCCCCCAGGTTTTTTGAGACAAGGTTTCTATGCGTAGCCTTGGCTGTCCTGGGACTCGCTTGTAGTTCAGGCTGGCCTCAAACTCTGTGAAATCCACCTGCCTCTGCCTCCTGAGTGCAGTTTTGCCCCATTTTCCTTCATTTGCCTCCTTCTTTTCTTTTTAAAATTCATTTTAGCCAGGCGGTGGTGGCGCACGCCTTTAATCCCAGCACTCGGGAGGCAGAGGCAGGCGGATCTCTGTGAGTTCGAGGCCAGCCTGGGCTACCAAGTGAGTTCCAGGAAAGGCGCAAAGCTACACAGAGAAACCCTGTCTCGAAAAACAAAAAAAAAAAAAAAACAAAAAACAAAATTCATTTTAGGCAGGGTCTCATGTATCCCAGGCTGACCCGGAACTCACCGTATAACTGAGGATGGTCTTGAACTTCCCAAGTCCTGGGATTACAGGTGCACATCAACACACCCACCTTTTCTTCCTAACTTAGGAAATGGTTTCTCATTGTATTGCCCAGAACCCACCCATCTTCCCAGCCTCCCAGTAGCAGGGAGTACAGGGATGAGCAAGGGCACCTGCCTACCCTCTCCATTCTATTAGTATGTGGCCTTGGGGAATCTCACAGGCTAAATATTTTCTGAATATTTTCACTCACCCCTCCCCTGGGCCCTTAAGTCCCCATCTGACTCACACTGGCCTCCTTCCTCCATCTCCTCTGCCAGTGTTTATGGAACACTTACTACGTGCCTGGCATTGGGCCTCCAGATGCCACCGCACACATCTTCAAACCTGTCGGGGTCTTTCTGGCTTGTGAGACCCCCTCGTCTTTTCTTCCCTTCTCAGAGTCTCAGTCTGTTCATCTGTAAAATGCAGCAGCAGAGAGAGGCCTCAAGACTTCCTGCCCACCCCACCCCCCACTCCAGGCTGTGGCAGTCCCTGGTGGCTATGAGCAAGGGTCAGGGTTAAATTCGTTTCTGAGCTTGGAGGTGATGGAAGACTCACAGAGCTTGGAAGGGGCAGAGCGGCAGGTTAGGAAGGTCTCTGACATTAAATCCTGCCTGGGACCCTCTAACATATGGGGGCGGGGGTTTGTCATCCCATGTCAGGAGACTATTGAGGGAGCCCCGAGTATCACCTCTCTCCCTGACAGGAGCGGGAAGAGCTAAGCCAACAGCTTGGAAGCACCTGCCCCGGACCCTGACCTCGGCTACCCCGAGAAGAGCTGACCTGGAGTAAACAAGCTTTGTTGTTGTCTAGATAAGCGTTACTTTGTAATTCGGTCAAGCCCCCCATCTCAACACACCTTGGAACTCTGGGTCCAGGGAACCGGCGGCTCAACTCCTCCCACTCCGTCTGTAATTCTAGATTCGTCCTCTCACCGATCCCCTCCAGCACCCTAAGCTTTCGCTGAGGCCAGCTGAAGGGAGACCGGGAAGGGGAATCTGAGCGGTGCCGCGGGAAGCTTGCAGCAGGCAGCTTCACGACCATGGCTTCACGACCGGTTTCTGGGAAGAACTTCCAACATTCGTGAAGATTTAAAGACACCTAACTCCCAAGTGCGGGCGACCTAAAGAGCGCGGAGTTTTAAGCATTAGCTTCACACTCGTTTATCAATCAAGCTGTCGTCCATCCTGAGCCTCAGTTTCTCTGTGGGTAAGTGGTCAGGATAAAAAGTACCGAGCCCACAGGAGTACTGTGAGGACCAAGCAGGCAGCCTTTGCTAGGGTTTGGATGACCGCGCGCTCGCAGACGCACTGTCGCGGACACCGTGGCAGGTCCGCAGGCGACGGGGAGACGTCTGCAAGTTAGCGGCTCTCTTCCTGCGGTTCGGTAGCCACTTGGTGGGGCCGGGGATCCCAAGCCGGGTCGGGAGGGGAGAGGGGCGGGGCGGGCGCGGCCACCTATCAGGGCCCAGCCCGCCGCTCACATTAACCCGCCTCCGGCCAGCGCCCCCGACTCTGCCACCGCCGTCCGGACCGAGAGGTGTTCGGGCAGCTCGCCCGCCGCTACGCCAGCGCAGCCCGGCAGGTAAGCGCCAGGCAGCCCCCAGGCCAAACGGCTGGAAGGTTGGGGGCCGGTGTCCAAGTCCCTCGATGGCCCGGGTTCCGAAACGTCCCCTCCGTGGCTGCCACCCCAGAAGGTGCTAGCCGCGTCCGCGTGCCTCGCCGCGCGTCCGTGCAATGGGGTGGGCCCCTGCGTCCCGGCCCCAGGACATGGTGAGCAAGTGACCCTCGCTGTCGCCGCTCCCTCGGTGTCGAAACCTTACCGGGGAGGCGCAAATCGAGTCTCTGCACTGTGCAGCCGCGACCAGGGCGCGGCACTGCCAGCGTAGGGCGGCCAGGCTCAGCTCGGGCCGCAGGCGGAAGATGGCGTCGGCACCTGTCCCCGCGAGGACCCGGGAGTTCGCATCTGTCCCTCCCTTGGGGATCCTGGGATTTGCACCGTCCCTCCCTACGGCGACCTGGTGGTTTACACCTGTCCCCGACAGAATCCGGGTTTCGCCCGAATCCGGGTTTCGCATCTGTCCTCGCTGGGACCCGGGGACGCACGTCTTCGAGGGGGCAGCAAAAGGGCTTTCTTAGGTGACTAGGGCAGTCCAAAGCAGGACTTCCCCCGAAGCTCCTGGCCACCTGCCCACGCCCAGGCGCAGGGGCCTGGTGGGCTGGACACCCCAGAGGCGCCTGCTTTGTGCTCTTTATAATGGGGAGTGGGAGGGGGTCTCGGGAAGGTCGCCCGTGTGCTTCCCCGGGGTCACCAGACAGAACCAGCACTGGAGGCTCAGCGTTTGTGTCACTCTTGCTGTCCACCTCGAGCCCTGTGGTCTTGCAGATGCATGTAGCTTTGTAAAGTGTTAATTGGGGCTCTGAAGGCACTGAGCCACCCGGCAAGGGGGTGGTGTTTGTTGTTTTCCTAACACTTACTAAGCCAGCTGCAGCTTCCTAGAAGGCCAGCCTCAAAGCTCCTACTTTGGGATGGGGAGCAGTGAACCTTGCTCTGGACTGAAGAAGAATCACCTAACCTCTGAGGAGCAAGAGGTCTCATTTCAGATAGAGAAACTGAGGCTTCTGCCCCAGTGGTCACTTCTGGCTCTATAGCTTCCATTCGGCACCTCGTTTTGTTGAGTTGGTGAAATACATTCCCATCTAGCCTGGTGGGAAGGAACCCCATCCAAGAGGCCGCTGAGCCGTGCTGCTGTTCCCTTGCTTTCCACTCCATGTGGACATGTTTTGGAGGAGGCCCTGGAACAGCACTCTGTATGTTTATTGTTGCTGTTTTACAAGTATCCACTGAAGGGTCATCTGGGGCAGTTGCTGGCTTTGGATGGAGTGTCCTGCACGGGGCAGGTGTGTACTCCTGACCTCCCGTGCCTGCTCCTCCCCACAGTCTCGCTTTCTCTTAGATGCCGATTTTCTCCCCCTCTGTTCTCCAGGATGTGTGGCTTTCTTTTTTGTTTGTTTTGAGGCAGTATCTCATGTAGCCTAGGCTGGCCTTGAGCTCACTACGTAGCTGAGAATGGTCTTGAACACCTGATCCTCTTACCTTGACTTCCTGAGTCCTGGGATTCCAGGTGTCGTCACTGTGCCCAGTTTATTTGGAACCCACGGCTTTGTGCACACTAGACCAGCACTACCAACTGGACCCCTTTTTTATTTTCCTAGACAGGGTTTCTTTGTGTAGTCCTGGCTGTCCTGGAATTTGTTCTATAGAATGACCAGGCTGGCTTCGAATTCACAGAGATCCACCTGCTTCTGCCTCCCCAGTGTTGAGATTAAAGGTGTGCTCCACTACCGCCCGGTCCCTTCTTTCTTTCTTAAGTAAGGCCTCGCTGTGTAGTAAAGGCTAGCCTTGCATTTCCATCCTCCTGCCTCTGCATCCTGAGTGTGGACTCTGTTTTCTGTTGTCAGTAACACAATGCCTCTGATGGAGTCAGAGTTAAAAAGAAGTGACTTTCTTTTGACTCACAATTGTGAGTTCATGTGGGGTTGAGGCGCCGGGCACACTGGGTGACTGGCACACCTTGAGCATGTAGACGTGACACTTCCGGGTCTCCTTAGAAAGGTGCCAGTGTTCACTCACAGCCTTGTCTCATTTTAGTCACCTGCCAAAGGTTCCACTTCTAAACACAGTGAGGTTGAGGTCCCCCCTCTAAATACCTCATAATGGGGATTACCCTCAGGTCACACCTAACCACAGCGCCTTCACCTTCTGAGCCTCAAGGGCACAGGGCTGACGCTGAGCTTGGCTGCTGTTTCTCCAGTTAGGTCTTAAAGGCTGTCTTTTGGGTTTTGCTTTTTTATATTTTGGAGACAGAGCTCCACACTTTGAACTCTCGATTCTCCTGCCTCTGAGATGCAGGAGATGAGGGTTATGGACCTATGGCACCATGCTTCTTTTTTATTTTTCTTAACTTAGAATGTGTACCTTGCCAGAGGATGCTGGCTTCGAGCCCAAGCTTGAAAATGCAGAGTGTCGTTTTCCAACTTGGTGACAAGCTCATTTAACTAATCTTCTAAGCTACCCCCTAGTTATTACTTAAAATTTTCTTTTGTTTTGTTTCCAGTCCTGGGGCTGGGACCCTGGGCTTTGTGTGTTTTAAGCAACACTCTGCCTCTGAGCCACACCCCAGCCACAGTTGATCCTTTCTAGTAGGGACATTTCTTCAAGCACTGGGAGGTTTGTTGTTGTTTGTTTGCTTGCTTTTCAAGACAGACATTCTTTGTGTAGCCTTAACTGTCCTGGAACTTGCTTTGTAAACCAGGCTGGCCTCGAACTCACAGAGATCCATCTGTCCCTGCCTCCTGAGTGCTGGGATTAAAGGCATGTGCCACTGCCACCTGACCACTGGGAGGTTTATAAGAGATCCTCAGAGTGATCCAGCCCAGTCCCTGTGGGTGTCTAGCTCGATCTCCACCTTTTGATGGCTTTGCTCATGGATACCGTCTCTGAGAAGTCCCCCATGTCTGTCTTTCTGTCATCGCACTGCTTGGTTGCTCTGTCCTAAAGTCTTGGCTGTCTGAAATGACCTCATGTAACTGTGCCCTGACTTAGGGCAGCCTGCAGGCTCTGTGAGACAAGGAGTATCAAATGGTAGTTTCCTGGGGCCTGTCACAGCCTGGAAACTTGGAATCAGTAACTCTGGATGGAGAGGTTGCCTGCCTGCTGGCCACCACTGTAAGATGGGTGACATACAGTCATGAAATTCTTGCTGAATTCTCTGAAAGCAAAGAAACCCGAGACTGTGGACCGGAGATGTAGTTTAGTTGGTAGAGTGGCTGGATAATTCACACAGATTCCTGGGTTCAACTCCCAGCACCGAATGAACCAGGGATGACAGTGAACATCTGTAATACTAGCATCCTGGAACTCACTCTGTAGACCAGGCTGGCCTTGAACTCACAGAGATCCACCTGCCTCTGCCTCCCGAGTGCTGGGATTAAAGGGTGCCCTCCCTCCGCGCCCCCGCCCCCCCCCCCATGCTAGGACTTGGGAAGAAACGGGAGGGGCAGAAGTTCAGGATCATTCATTCTTGGCTGCATAGCGAGTTGGAGGCCAACCTGGAATACAGGAGACCCTGGCTTGAAAGACAAGAAGAAACGTGGTACAGCCATCCATCCCGTCTTATGCTCCCTTTCCATCACCTCTCTCTTAGTGGTAGGGAGGGGGTAGTTGGAAGGACATGTTGGGCCGTGAGACTTCAAGCTGTCCCTGCCACAGACAGTATTTCCCCCTCTCTCTGGAAAGCATCCTGTTTTTAGTGAGTCAGTTACGTTCGTGGACAATTGATGGCTCCCGCTTCCCCGGCGGCTGACGGAGTGGATCCCACGAGACAGTCACTGTTTTGCCGCCTGCCTAGAACAATTCAGAGACTGTTTCAAGGAAGTTCCAAACGATGGTAGGCTTTTGTTGGTAGTGGCCACCAGGAAGCCAGCCGTGGGTCTGGGCTGGACCTGTGTGGCCGCCTCCTTTGTCCTGCCCTTGGTTGGCTGAAGCCGAGCCTTAGGGGAACAGTGTCAGCAAATACATTCCCGGCCCAAGTTTCTTGTTAGCCTCGAGGCAGGCAGGAGAGGGGCGGGCGAGGTAGGTGGCCAGGGCACAGGGCGGCATGGAGAGGGCAGCTGATTTACCTAGTGTCAACATTAGGTTGTGACAATACAAAACACCCTCTGGGCACTGCCAAGCAAACCTGTTTTTCTGGAGATGGGAGAAAACTTGGTGCCCAGTGACTCTGCCTGAGAGGAGCCTTACCGTGCCGGGAAGGGCAGTGAAGGGGAGCCCACCTGACTCTCCGGTGGAAGGCTGCGTGCTGGAGACGGTGACAGTCAGGCTATTGAGCAAGGGTTGGTTTTTTTGTTTGTTTGTTTGTTTGTTTGTTTGTTTGTTTGTTTGTTTTCTCCAGAAGAGGAAACATTCATGAGGAGGGGGCTGGGATGGAGAAGCACCCCCATATGGGGACCAGGACAAGGCCAGCTGTGCATTGGGGCAGCTGACGAAGTTCTCACGTGTGGACAAATGGTAACTAGACCCAGTTGGCAGGAGGCAGTCAGTATGGACAGGACATTTCCTCCTGTGGGCCGTTAATGAGTGCATTCTCCTTCTTAAGGCACGCCCCAAAGAAGCTCTCCTCCTGTCCTTAACAAGTGACCCCGTGGCCC